TAATCTTGCAAATATAAATGCTACAATTGAAATAGCCAGAAGATAGAAAACTGGAAAAATATTAGCTTCTGGATCTACTAATAAAGTAGAAAATATGATTCAAGATTTAACCAATAGTTTTAAAATTTTAAGTCTTAATTTGATCCAACAAATTAACAAAAAAGAAGCTTATACTGTTGAAAGTAGTTATAATCCAACTAATCAGAATCAAGAAAGAAATAGAAGTATAGACCTAACTATTCATTGTTTTTGATATAATAATTTAAAACATATTGCTATACACTATCAACTCAACAAAGGAAGAAATCGTTCAAACTGAAGTAGAGATTTTAGAAGAAGATCCAGATCAGGACCTCAAAATTATAGAAGAAATCCATCTAGAAGTCAAGAAAGATACTGAAAAAATACTCAAGATTATAATCAATATGATAGAAACAAATCTAGAGATTATAATCAATATGATAGAAGCAGGTTTAGAAGTCAGTCTAGAGACTGGGAAGTCTGTTATAGATCTTCTATTCATTAGTATATCAACTTAGCAGATAATAAAAAAATCATCTCTACCAATTATTAGAATACTCTTTTAAATAATACTAGTATTAGAGAAGCCTTAGCAAATTATTTGCAAGGTAACTCCAATATTGTAAATCTGGTACACTCTAATAGACTACGAACTATTCCTGTAAAGTGTCAAACAACTATTCATAATAAACTATTTACTGCTATTATTGATAGTAGAGCTACTATTAGTATGATTACCCAACAAGCTGCTAAAGAAATTAGATTAGAAATAGATACTTCTTCTAATAGTTTAATTTTATTTACACTTGGAAAACAAATTAGACCTCTAGGTGTTATTAAAAATATTTCTGTAGAAATTGCAAGAATTACTATTTCTAGTTGTACTAGCAGCTATCTACTTCTTTATTTTAGAAAATAATTGGTTCTGCAAAGTAGAAGCTCAATATAATTAGAAAACTAAAAAATATGATTCAAGATTT